CAGAAGCTGAAAGGGAAATAAAGGGATACTGAGTTGACTATTTTACCCAAGATCTCAGACACACAGGTTCTTATTTTTGTTTCAAATTCTGCATTATGGCTGTTTGTATATGCCATGGGGGTTTAATTTGGTTTAGTTTTCCCTGAATTGAAATGGTGGATTTTTAAAAACACTGCTTCACTTTAAGGAGAACTAAACCAAATTAAACCCCCAAGGCGTGTACACAAGGGTGAGGGCCCAATCCTTATCTGCCTCTTCAGTGGCGGGGGAGCAGGGAGGATGAGCTACCCCATGAGTGCTGTGTGGGGGCGCCCTAGGCAGCACTCGCCCGCTGGCACCCAGTCCAAGCAGCCCTAGGGGGCACCGCAGCCATGGAGGGAAGCACTGGCCCCCTGTAGCTGTGGAGGGAAGCACAGAGCCCCCACACAGCTCAGGCAGGCTCCAAGAAGAAAAAAATAAAGATCAGGCTCACCGCTTTTTTTTTTCTTTTAAGTGGAGCCTGCCTGCATGTGCTGCCACTAGGTCCCATAGCCCCTGAGCTGTGCAGGGCCCACCAAGCCCCAAGCATGTTGGCTTCCAGCGCCCTGTGTACTGTTGCACTTTGGAGGAGTTTTATCTTGCTACGTACCAAAAACATTTAAAGCGGAATACACCACTGAGTGTACAAACAGGAACGCCATTAAAGCAGTGCAAAAGGGCATGTAAGCCACTTTAAAGGCCAATTTTGTGGTGTGTACAAAGACTCTGTTACTATTGCTGATAATTACAGTTATGTCTGGCTGGGAAGGAAGATGTGGGGAGCTGTTCCTACAAGAGGCTCTCACAAGAGCCAGCTGGAACCAGTTGTTGTGTTAGGGGTTTGTGCAAGGCACTTGATGCTCCGTTAGCACTTGTACATTGAAAAAAGCAGACCTCTTTCTGGTCTCAGGTAGTGATTACTGAGCAATACACACTCTGTCTCATACCTCTGCCTGGTTATATCCCAGAATACCATGTGGTGACCCACCCAGTGACCTCAAGTAGGGTTGGGGTGGCACCATTTCCATTTCTCTTTCACCTTGTCCTGTCTGCACACTTTTTCACTCCCTTGTTTCTTCCGCTGTCAGACTGTATAGGGGACTCTCTGGCCATACATTTACTACTTTATTAGCTAGCTTTCACAGAATAGTTAGGTTGGGTTTCCTGCTATGCGCAGGTGGATCCTTCCTGAGATCTTTAACCACTGACAGTGTTGTAGTCCATTGCAAGTACTTCTAAAATCATTTTTTAAATTGACCATGGCCTTGAAAGACCTCTTTTTGTAGAGCTGTTTTTTTATGATATATCAAACTCTCATTGCATTGCTGTCATGAATGTTTAAGAAATCAGGGATTGAGTGTTCTTCAAGAATAAGTGAGCTGTTGTAGGAAATACCACAGCAGCTGTTGTTTCTAAGAAAAAAGAACAGAATTTGTTCCTAGAAGTACCTAATACTTGTATGTATTCTGTCCAAGATTTTTAAAAAGCAAGAGCTAAAACTTAATATCCTCAGGCATTCAAAAATGGTAGATTATGTTCCCCAAAATGAATCTGGCTTAAAACTGATGATGGCTTTTTAATAATCACAATCACAATCATTATTATTATTATTATTATTTAAAATTGAAATTGTCAGCCACAGAAGTCCAGGAACTGTGACTTTAAGGAAAACAATATTGCTAGACTCTTACTAAAGTCATGTTGCTGGACCTCTAATAAAGTCATGAGATGTGGTGGTCCCTAAGAAAAACTTTTGACATCTGGTTAAGTGGCCTAATTTTAAAAAGCACTGACACCCTCAGAGCTGTTTATTATTTCCAGTGAAGGAATTGTAGCTAGTGGAAGTAGAAGTCAATGGGATTTGTATGGTGCTCTGTACAGTAGAAAAGCAGGCAATTTATTTAAGTTTTTAGATACACTGGTAGATTTAAGAGGTTAACTTTCCACTCATACGTCTTACAGTCTGGGTAAATAAGAAATAGAAGTGATGCTTTCATTCTCTGTAAATAATTCTGTGGAACCCATCGCTGTGGCTTTTGAACACCTTCATATCATACACTTTCTCCTGAGTTTGAACATAAAATGTTAAATGCATTGCAAATAATCTGTGCAACTGTAAGCTTATCTGTAAAATGTTATTATTAGGGATCACCTTTGAAGGTGGTGGCTATTTTGGGGATAATATTTTAAGAAATGACTGAAACTGTTGCGAATATTATCTCAGTTCATTTTTGGCTTCCTAAACTCTCAAGTTGTTCTTGTCAGAAACCAAACACTCTGAACTCCAGTTGGTCTTAGTGGGGTAGCAGGACCCTTTAAAATAATTTACAGTGAAGAACTATCTAGACAATAAATGGGTTTTTAATTTCATTGTGTTTTTATTTCTTATCTATTCACTCCCCAATGAATGTAGTAATCATAATCTATCACCATTGTTACAATATATGGAACAGAAGACGCAGGGAAAACGACACCAGGAAAAATATTTTTAACCTTTCAAAATTGCATTTGACATCTGTTCCCAGTGCGCTCAGAAACTAAGTATTTCTGCTTTGTTTTAGTGCTTCATGGATAAAGTTAAAACTTTCTTATATGCTGCTGTATTCACTGGCTATAACTGCACACACTTATTCAGAGCTAAACAAACATGGTTTTCCTTGTCAAATACTTAAAATGGTTGTGTTCCTTCTGTAAAACAACAAATCAATACAAGTAGCTACCCTTAAGAGAACAGTTGGTATACAAAATCTAAAACACGGTAACTTTTTGGCAAGGAAGTCCCACTTTCTGTGTGCTTATTAGTCTTTTCAATATCATTTGGACACACTGTTCTCAGCATTTCTCCATGCCATTTTGGCCTGCCGTTAAACAAGAGGAACAGCAAGATAGATGACTCTGGCCACACCTATTTGAGATGTGTATTGCAAAGTAGGCCAGCTCCACAATAAACACAGCATGTCTATTAGACTGCAGGAAACTAACTCTGCAGCAGCGTAGTACATAAAAATCCAAATACTATCCTACTGTGGAGTTATTTACTGCACAGCAGCACACATGTAGGTGCTGACGTGGATGTAAATTGGGCCCTGGCAGCCCAGACAGCACGTGGCCACACTCCTGCCTGCTGCCTAGCCACATAGCTCACCAGCTGCAGAGCCTTGTGGCCCAATCAGCTCCTCCGCTGCCTGATGCAGCCACCTGCTGCCAGGGCCTGACCCCCTGTGCCCTCTGCCAGCTTGGGGTTGCCCCCTAGACTCCAGGTCACACTGCTGCCACCAGCTGGAGTCCAGGGCTGACCCCTATGCCCACTGCCAGCCCAGGGCAGGCACCTGGGCAGCTGCAGCCAGAGCCTGGAGCTCCCTCTCATTGCTACTGGGGGGCAGAGCAAGACAGGAGCAGCCCTGGCTTAAACTGCTCCTCTCTGGCTCAATTTGCTGCTGTCCTGGGCATGTGTGTAGATCAGTGGTCTCCAACCTTTTTAGGTCAGAGATCACTTTTGGAATTTAAATGAAACCCAAGATCTATCTACACCCCCTCCACCTGGCCCAGCAGGTGTGGGGGGGTGGGAGGGGAAGGACCATGGGCCATGGGGGAGGAGTGGGGCAGATCAAGGTCCCAGCCCTAGTCCCACTCCCTCTCTCACTCCTGGTATCTCAATCTGCCCCCCCCCCCAACAGTGGTGAGGGAGGGGCAAGCCCTTGCACAGCCGAGGCAGAGCAGGGAATGGAGCTGTGAGCGACTTGTCTTGGGGGGCATGCGGAGGAAGGGGCACGCATGCCCCCAGATCTGCACTCAGGGCGGGGTGGTGCAGGCTGGGGCCGGGGCTGTGCTCTGGCCGGGTGGCTGCAGTGGCAGTGCTGGGAGCATGGCCCCAGGGGGACCTTAGCTCCCCCAAGCCCTGCTCCCAGCACTGCCACTGAGCAGAGCACAGGCCAGGCCCAGTGGAAACTGCCCAGCACAGCCTTCCAGCTGGCAGCTGCAGTCCGCCTTCCCCTTTGCCCACCAGCCCCTGGTCCTTATGTCTTCAGGGGAGGAAGGTCCCGCTGGGCCTGGCCTATGCTGCTCTCAGTAGCAGCACTGAGATCAGGGTTGCAGGGGGGCTACAGCCCCCCCCGGGGCTCTGGTCCCACTGCTGCCTCCACAGCCAGCCAGCCTGAGTGCAGCATAACTGGAAACAGCCAAGCGCTGCTGCTGGCCCAGCCCCAGGCCCAACCCACATGTAGTTCTGGGGGCACATGCTCCCTCATGCCCTCCTGGGCTGCATGCCTCCCCCCTCCCCATGCCCCCCAGATGAGCTACTCATGGCTCTCTTCCCCGCCCAGCTGCAGCTGTGGGCTGGGCTTTGCACCCCAAGCCATGTTGCACATGCCTCCTGGGCCTCTGCCCCTTCAGGCTCCAGGATTGACCGGTTGGTGACCACTGGTGTAGATGTTGTAGTTCACTGCAGTGCAAATTGTACCACGGTTTATTCAATCCCATTAATTGCACATGTAGATGCACCCTCTGAATGTGAAAGTGGTCAGGAAGGAAAGGCAGTTCAAGATCCTTTGAGGTCTCTCTTGGAAGGAAAGAATCCAGTGAAGACACCTATCGATATCACTGTGCCATTCACCCATAAGTAAGGCAAAGTTCCATAGCATCAAGAACTGTTGATAAATCCAATACAAAGAGCTTGGATCTATCCTGGTCTATCACTGTTAATCAGCCTGCAGCATCAGCACAGTCTGACTGATAAGTCTGTTACCAGACTGATAGGAATCCAGAAAAATCTGTGGAATTCAAGTGTTACTGAAATATTTTCACTTTCTTGGAAAACTGGTTTCTTAAACTGCCAATGATCAGGATCTTGCTTGGATTTCTCCTCCCTTGTCCCCATTCCCCTGTTTTCCAACTAGAGAACAGTGCAGGTTTTAAAAATGTTTTGCTCTAAAAATAAATAGCCCATGTGTGGGGGGTCTCATACTTCTTGTTTGTTCCCACAGTACAACCTTGTATGTGACAACGCCTGGCTTCTAGATCTAACACAAGGTGTTCTCAATCTGGGATTTCTGGCAGGAGCATTCACCCTAGGCTATGCTGCAGACAGGTAAAGTATAGGTGTTACTGCAACACTACTTTTAAAAAGGATCAAACACCTTATACAGTAACTGGTTCGAAAGATTTGGATGTTCAGCATCCTCAGGTTTGGAAATTTATCTGATCCTATGATAATCTTGAACTCATAATTTAGGCTGGACATTTCATAAAATATCTAGTACTTCTTGGCTCTATTTGGACTGGAATTGGAATGAAAGAAGCCTGTCTTGTACCATTTCATGATTTCTGTTAACACCTGGACTCAACTTCTGGGTTAGTGAATGTTGAAGGTCATATAGAGCCATTTTTGAAATAAGCTAAGCAGCTAGCTTGGGAAAGGAGGAAGAAACTCCATATAAAACTCACACATTAAGCACACATACTCACGTACTAGCTGGCAAAGTCATGGTTACAGTCAGTGTTCAACATTTTGACAACTGAATGGGTTACGTTAAAAAAATAAAATAAAGTTTGAGAGTGATATTTGAGAGGACCAGCATTACAGCAAGGACCTTAAGGCCCTTTTAGTCCACAAAATAGGAGGAGGGAGCCTTATTTTAAATAAATTAAATGAAAGTAAGTGGTGGCAAATCCTGGGCCAATGTATGGAAGTGAACTTCACCAGAGGTGGGTATTTTTAAGGATACAAATGATATTTCCTTTGCCTGTTCTATCCGTGAATATCCCAGTAAATGATTTCACAGGCAGCGATGTTTTGCAGCATGTATAGAGAAGAATGTCAGATAACAAACATTGAATTTTCAGAAAAAAACCATATGAAACAAAAATGTGATTGGTTGAAGAATTACCGTCATCCAATTGGGGATGAACATACTATACGTTCCATGTGTCTGAGTGACAGAGAATAATATGCATGACCCAACTTTTGAATATTGGGTTGCTACAACAAACAGTTCCAAAACAGTCTAAGTGTATTACTTGCAAAAGAATTCCTAAGTTAATAATTTAAAAAAATAAATAGAGAATAATGTAATTTTTACACAGACAGTTTGCAACCAGAGAAGATAAGTGGGCAGATAAAATATCTTTTGAACTATTCATACACTTGTACTCAAAAGAAAGAGCTGTCAAACAAGGTTGACATTGACAGAAGACAAAAACAAAAGGCATGTACACTATGCTAATTATCTTTGAGCAAATCAAAGAGAGTCATTATGCGCTTAAGGTACTTTGAAATCTTAGGATTAATGGCTATTTTAAAAAGTTAGAATTAAATGTCATCTACAAAGTTTGTATATGAATATTAGAAAGTTTAACACAGTTTGGAGTAGACGTGATTGAAAAATACCAATTATTCTCATAGGAATATTTTAAATACATATTTAACATTTTCTATACATTTAAGATAAATCTTTAAAATAGAAAAATAAATCATTCAAAGACTGTTTGATTAAAAACATATTTTTGAGTTGTTGGTTTGGGGTTTTTTTGAAAAAAACCCAGGAAATTACTACCAAATGTAAAAGTCTCGTTTAGTCAAAAAGAACTTTTATCAGGAAAAAGTTAGATACATTTCAAACTTTATTTTGGACATACGTCTGGGTCTGGGAACATCTCTCAGTATTATTCCAGATGTTTAAAATGTAATATTAAGTTAATATATGAAGAAAATGTCAGAAGACAATATAACATCTAAACATATACTTTCTGGTAGTATAGTTGTACTTATGCAAAATTAAAAACTCTTTTCTAAAAACTGGACCTAAAAGTTTTCTTCCACAGTTGTTAAAATAGAGCGAAATACAGTGAGATAAGTATCAAGATGGAAAGACTTCCACCACGTTACCACCAACCCAACACAACCTTAGACAGCCACCATCCTTAAGCCCAATGGTGAGGGAATCTAAAATCTGTCAACATCATGTGTTGACCCCACAAATGTACTCTGAGGGCCAAAGAAGTTTCAAGAAACATATACCAATAAAATCAAGTACTCTGAAGGAATGAACATAGTAACATTTTTATCCTGAGAGTACAGTAAGTAAATGAGAAGGAATATACTACAAATGATGTAGAACAAAATTATGATAAGATGTTTGTGTAATTAAAAGAGAGAAATAGCTACAAATGACAAAATAGTTGTAGACCTAAAAGGCAGAAAAGATTATAACACCTGGAACAGAGCCAAAGTGATCTTAGCACCTAGGTCATGATATTTTCTCACATACCACATGCCATCAAATCAGACATGCACCTTAGGTTTAATACTAGACTTCATCTCTCCTGCTTGCTGCCTGAAAGAAAAGCTGGCAGCCATCTTGTACCACTATCTCTTCATGCTTCTATTCCAGTGAAGAAAAATCAGCTTCCTTGTTTAAGACACGCACTCCAAATTTGGAGGGTTAATGTTTTGGGAAAAGGTGCATGTGGTATTCTGGTAAATATGGTACTAAGCTCTAAGGGCACTTTTACGTGTGCTCTGGGGAAGGGGGGTAGCACTTTAATTAGAGTGGCTTTGAGAGCCGCTAGAACTAAAGTGACACTGCATCTCGTGTATCAGTATCCCCAGGCTTAAAAATGGTGGTGGGGGTGCTTGAACTGAAGCTTGTTCGATGAGCTTTAG